ATTTCTGTCAGTGTCACACATAAATTTTAATTATACTAAAAGAAGAATTATGGAATAACTGTCAAGAGCAACGACTCTGAAATTGAGAGGGCTGCTGTAGACTATGAATGTTGTTCACTGCACACAGGCAACCAGCTGAGTGATTAGTGGGGCCTGAATCCTGCATCTCTCAGAAGTCATGAATCCTAGTTAGGACTGAATTTACTCAGAAGGGGCATCTTTTTCTACTCTCTACAAATTTACCATATGAGTATATTAGCTACCTATGGGAGGACTGACTAAGTAAGCAAATAAATGGCAGAAAATGTGATCAAGATTTCTCTTTTTAAAAAAGGAGTTTCAAATATGGAAAGGACATTGGAATGGAACGGACTATATCAGTGTGAAATCATGGTTTTTCACAGAGAGATAATTATGTGGGAGTGTGCATGTGTGTATGTCAATATATTGCCTTGTTCTTTCTACCAAGAGAATCGAATCCGTGACGCAGGAATAGCAATGATCACACCTAGTAACTCAGATGTTGGTTTCTAAAATACTATTCTCCACTAAAATGAACCAGAGCTCAGTGTAAAGATGGGGGATTATAGGGTTGGGACAATGAAAGTACAAGGTAAGCCAGGAACATATTTTGGCTCCAAAAAGTAAGAAGTGCTCAAAACTCTTCAGAATGTACCAAATACACCAGACCAGTTTGAAAGGGCTTCTTCCTTTCACCTGTCTCTAGTCTATCAAACATCCATGCTTCATGCTTGGTCAAATCATGGAAAATTTGAGCATCAAAATAAGTAATGACTGTCGTTTATTATAATCCATTGTATAAAACTAGAATCTGTAAGTCCATACAGGCACAAATGAGTAAATGAATAAAAAATGGGAGCAAAGGGGAAGCTATACCTAAAACTGAATACTAACTAATGTGGAATTAATGATAACACTTAAAAACTGTCATTTGGCAACCTTTACAATAATAATTGGTTCAGGAAAAATCATCAATGAATGCTAAAGTTAATGTGTAAAAGTCTGATGGGCAACAAGCTATCTACATAGTCTCAAAAAATCACCCTATAAAATACTTACTAAGTAGTAAATATAAAAATACTTAATTGTTGCTAAATACAAGGTAGTTATTAATTAGAGTGGAGAGCCTAGTAGACACCATGTTAACCAAATGATATAACCTAATATCACCATCATCTCACAAATCAACATAACGTGCTACCTGATTAACACAATACACTGAGAAGAACATGTCATGCTTCTGTGATTTTTCTGACTAATATAAATAACCTGAATCCAAACATTAGGAAATGTTAGAAAAATCACAATTGAGAGACTTCTACAAAGTAATGGTTTTACATTCTTCAAAAATATGAATGTCATGAAAGATAAGGAAAGAGAAAAGAACTTTCCCTACTGAAGTATATGATAACTAAATGCAACACATGGCCCTGGATTGCATATTGGGCTAATAAAAGACAATATTAGAACAATTGGATAATTTCTAATAGGAGTTATAGATTTTAATGGTTGGTTAGTGGGTACATAGGAGACAGCCCTTGTTCTTAGGAAACAGATACTAAAATATTGAAGAGCATTGGTACATCCCATCTGTAGTTCACTCTTAAATGGTCCAGAAAAAAAAGTATATATATATATATATATATATATATATATATATATATATATATGTATATATAGAAAGAGAGAGAGAGAGAGAGAGAGAGAGAGAGAGAGAGAAGAGGCAAATGTGACAAAATATTAACAGCTGGAGGATCTGAGTGGAGGTATATGGGAAGTCCCTAAACTATTAGTGAAAAATATTCTTAATTTGAAAGTCTTTAAAATTAAAAAAAAGTCTTTTAAAAAGATAAATTAAAAAACTGTTAGACCTAAAAGACCTTGAGAGAATTCATCACCAATAAATCTGAACTGAAAGAAATATGAAAGGAATTTCCTTATAAAGAAGAAAACTGATTCCTCCAAAACACTGGAATTCAAGAAAGAATGAAGAACAATGGTAAGAGCAAACAGGTGGGCAAATATACATGAACGCTGAGTGTGATGGTGACACTGTCTGGTGTGGGCTATGTAAAGTAACACAAACTGTGGGTGTGGCTGGAAATGTGGAATAAAGTGCTCTGCGGCCCCAGCATTGTCAGTGAGATGATGAAAGTGCTAATTTCAAAAGTACTAATTTATAGTTGACCATAATAGGTCATTTCATTTTCCAATAGCCATTAAAAACAAGCAATATATACAACACAAGCAATATATTAAAAACATATATAATACATATATGAAAACACACATTAGAGAGGAAAAATGGAACAAAAATGGAACAAAAAATTTTATTAATCCAGAATAAATGAATATATATATATATATATTTAAGTACTAAAAACTGCTATTAAAAAACAAAGATTATCAAACTGAATAAAAATTAAATATAAGCACCTAAGTGTAGGTGCTTTTAAGAGTCACATTTTCACACAAGGACACAGAAAGACTGAAAGTAAAAAATATAAGAAAGATACATTGTGGGCCTCCCCAGTGGCACAGCGGTTGAGCGCTGGGTTGGGATGCTGCCAGCAGCCTCTGCAGCGCCGGTTTGTTTCCCAGCCGCTGGGTGAGGGTCCCACATGGCGCACAGACCTCTCCTGCTGCGCCCTCTGCTCCCCTCAGCAGTGTACTTCATCAGTCTGCCTGCTCTGTTCCCCACTCTGGCTCTGGCGAATTCTCTCACCCTCCTGCACTTCCGACTGTACCCAGTGCTTATGTAAATAAAGAAATAAATCTTAAAAAAAAAAAAATACATTGTACAAGCACTAAAATAACATTAATGTGGTTTTACAAATATCAAAGTAAGTTTTAAGTTAAAAATCACTTCCAAACAAACCATAGATCTGAGGCACCCAGCAAGGGAGGGGGAGGGAGGGGGTCAAAACAGGGGAAGGAAGAGTACAAGGGACTGTGGTGATGGTGCTCGGGTGAGGCAGTGGTGGGAGACTTATGGAGACTACACATAAGCGGAGAAATCAAATATTGTACAAAAATAAACACAATGTAAGAAAATAAAAAGTTTAATGAAAAAAATTAATGCCAAAATACAGATACTTTTGATAATAATAAAAGGTTCACTTCACCAGGAAGATATGACAATTTCTAAATTTATACACATGCAAGACATAGTTTCCAAATATATTAGATGACATTTTACAAACCTAAAAGAAATAGTTAAATGTTCATCATTGTGGAAAACTTTAATATACTTCTCATAATAACAAATATTATTCAAGCAGTCGGTAAGAACAAAGGCCTAAATAATGCAACTAAAAAACCTAACTGAATTGACATATATAGAACATCCCAGATATAGTTGGGATATGTGTTCAAGTCCATGAGGAACAGTCATAAAACTGACATATGCTAAAGTATAAAACAAGCCTTAATAAATTTCAAAGAATTGAAATCATTTAAGGTATGTTTTCTGACAAGACCATGCAAAATTAAGTTAGCTATCAGTTATGAAAAGATAACTATAAAACCCCACGTTTATAAATTAATCAATATAATTCTAAATAACCCATGCATCAAGAAAGTAGTGATAATGGAAATTAGAGTATATTTTGAATTGAAAGATGATAATTATGCAGCACATGAAAACTTGGGGGGTGTTAACACTGAGCTGAGAGGAAAATAGGTCTGAAGCTTATATTAGAAAATAATAAGGACTAAAAAGCAAAGGTCCAAGTATCTATTTCAAAGACCTAGAAAAAAGAACAGCAAAATAAAATCTTTAAATGTGAAAGACGAAAACAATAAAGAGGAGAAATTAATGAAATAGAAAACAAATGCACAAAACCAGCAACAACCAAACCGAAGATTGGTTCCTTCAAAAGACTGATATCATTGATAAGCAACAGATAAGATTCATCAAGGAAAAAAAGAGAGATAGACATTGTATATCACCAGGGATTAAAAAAAAAAAGGAGGGTCTCACTACATAATCTAAAGAAATTTAAAAGAATGTTTATGAAAAATTTTGTACCAGTAAATTGGAAAACTTAGATGAAACTGTAAAATTTCCAGAACGCAAATTTTAAACGTGAATATTCTTATTTCTATTAAGTAAATTGAATCTGCTATCAAAAATCACCCCACAGAAAAAACTCCAGGTACAGATGGCTTCACAGATAAGTTATATCAAACATTTGAGAAAGAATGACTCCAATGTCATATACTCTGTTCCAGAGTTTAGAAAAAGAGATTATATTTTCTTAATCATTTTGATGAGGGCAGCATAACTTGGATCCCCTCTTGCTCTAAAATTCTAGGAAATTACCATAAGATATACGATAGTTAATTTATTGAGAACTCTACAAAATACCAGGAACCTAACTGTTGGGATTTTTATCATTAATATGGAATAAAACATCCTTTGGGGAGCTTCGATCAGTCCTGTTTCTGCCCTAAATATACTTCACATATTAGATGAGCCCATGTAAATTAAGCACATTTTAATGTAGTTTAAAAAAACAAGCTTTTTGTCCTTTGGGCGGAGGAGGTCAAGTAATGTACAAAACAGAACAAACATCCTTACTCCCACCCCAAACTACCTGATGCCCTCCCCCCCCCAACCCCCCCCCCCCCCCCGCCTCCCATCTCCACCCCCGGAACCTCCACTTAGCATGTCAGCTGAGGGTAAGGCAAAGACTCAGCGTGTCTGTTTTACACATTGCTTGAGACAAATGCAGTAGAATAAAAGCAAGCAAGGAAAGAGCTTCCTAAATAATGCTGGCAACTCCAACTGAGTTGTACTTTTCACTTTACAAAGCATTTTCATGTTTCATTTATTTACCAGAATCCTGTGAGGGGGTCAGGCACTTATTCCCATTTACCAAAAAGGGAAATTGAACTCAGAGGGGTGGTAAGTTGGCCCAAAGCCACACAGTGGGTAGGTGGAGTTTGAACCTAATGCCTTTGGAACCCCAACCTACCACGCAATCCTCAAGAGGTCAGGTAATGAAATCAGCTCATATGGGAATGCTCTGGCTGTGCGAAGTCACTGGATCTGGAGAGAGGAGGGCAAAAGAGAGATAGGTTGGGAGAAGACAAAGAAAAAATAGTATTTCTTGCTGACAGCATGGTTAACAGCCACCTTCAGTATTTGTCCTTCCCAAAGGTGAGACACAGTCTGCCTTACGCATGAGAGAATAAGTAGGTAAGGACCCTCACTCTCCAAGATGCCTGAAGTTTGCCCCCTTATCACGCTGGGCTTGGGGAGCATTGCCTCTCCTCCTACAGTTCTGCCTTCCTGGATCACTGTCTACCCAGTCGCAGAAACTAGGTTAGATTCACTTCAACCACTGCCTACACCAAACATCAATTCTAATTCTAATTCTCAATTCTAATTGATTCATTCATTCAATAAAGGTTTAAAAGCCAGTCATACATCAAGTCCATCTGAAATACTTCTTCACATACCACTAGGCTTAATAATTTATACTCTACTTGTGAGTCTCTCTCAGTAGACTGGGGGGTACTGTCTCTTAGCTCAACATTCCCGGCACCTACCACAACCCACAGCAAATAATAAGCCGTCAGTAAATAACTGAAGGAAAGGAGAAAAATGCCTTTCTCCTCTCTGCGACAGCTACTTATGGACTGCCACCTCCAGGCTTTTCCCCTCTGCCCATTCCGTTTACTGCCTGCATTAGAAGGATGCCTCTATGTAGCGCACATCTGAGTTCTGTGAATTCTGTGCATGTCTTGTCTCTTCTGGAAAAAAAATTCCTTAGTACATTCCTTAGTGTTGTCTCCATCCAGGCCTGCCTATCTCAGGCAGGAACAGAGGCTCCCTCTTACACAGATGTGGGACAAAACTTGCAGGCAATCCAACCATACATCCGAGGCATACTGTAAAGGAGGGGGAGGGAGAAGGATCAAAGTAGGGAAGAGCACAAGAGACTATGGTGATGGTTCATGGGTGCTGTGGTGGTGGGAGAACCATGGGGAATACAGCTGAGGGGAGAAATCAAATATAGTACAAAAATGAACAACAGTGTAAGAAAATTAAAAAGTAAATTAATAATAATAAAAAAGAAAGAATAAAAGAGATCTAGTTCTACACACCAGCCCAACCTCTTCTGCCTTCCCCACCCTGCTACTCCTGAGGTCTGGGGCTGGTACCCAACTGTCTGACCCTTTGAATATGCTTCCTTGTGCTGTATCTCTGGGCCTGAGCTGCCTCCACGTCCTGGAAGCGCTCTGTGAACCCTCTCCCTCTACACCTATATCTGGGGGCAGGCCCTCGTCCAGCTCTGATTCCCAAATCCCCAGCTCTGATTCCCAAATCCCAGGCTCCAGGTACCCATTTGCCCAGGTGGAGAATGGTAAGAATAGCACGTTAGCTCAGAATAATCTGGCCACGGTTCAGCCTCTTGCTTCCGCCCTCAGAAAACCTATACTTCAGCCACCTGAGAAGATTTTGTTTTGTTTTGTTTTGTTTTCTTTTTCAGTTTGTTTATTTTTTAAATTTTATTTTATATCTATTTTACATCATTCTTCCCTTTTGTACAATGCGTGCTTTCTCCTCACAGTCACCTGAGAAGATTTACCATCCCCTCAGATGCCATGCTTTTTAACATTTGCTGCTCCTCCTGATTGCAGGTCTCATCTGTCCACACACAACCACTGCAGTCTCCTTGGCCTGTGAAGTTCCTACTCATCTTTCAAGGCCCAGAGAAACATCACACTCTCTTTCCCTGAGCCTCAGTCAGAATCAAGTATGATCTGAGCAACTGCACTTGTACTCTAACACCGATGTCTCTCTGCTCTGACAGGGAATCCATCTTTCCCTGCATGCAGATCAGGAGCTCCAGGAAGAGGACACCTGCCCTGTTCAGGGCGCCGTACCGAAAGGCTAGCTCTGTGCATTAAAAGCAGGAAAAATGCCTTTGCTGAATGAACAAAGTTGGTAGGCATCAACAGATTGTCTCTTAACAAGTGAATAAATATTTTCAAAAGCTTCTACTTATCACACACTTGAACACCAATAAGCTATCTCTCCCTTCATCAATGTGAGGGTGTACATACTGAACCCCTAATGTTGTGATATAACCAGCTGTGGAGATAAGGAGGCAAAGGAATGTAGACCCTGCCTTCAAGGAGCTCAGATTCTCCCACAGTTAACTGAAAAAAATGGGGGAAATGTATACATGCTTAGGCTTAATACATTTCAAAGAAACACAGTATTTTTTATAAACAATATGAAGTTCATACGCTTGTGACAAATGTTATTCAGTGGCTGGTAACGCTGTAGAAATTTGGAAACAGTTCCATCACCAGCCCTTTCATTCTCTGGGTGACTTTAGTTGACACCAAGATCAGCAAGCAAGCTTTTAAGTAATACTTATTTAAAGCTGAAAACATGAATGAGTTTCCACCTGAAAGAAATGATGAATCCTTTTCCAAAAATGGAGATAATTGTTAGCAATTTCAGAAGGTGAACTAGTAAAGGATTCATTCTCACATCGTTCTCATCTGTCTGATGGAGCTGGAAGGTTTATATAGTTTTCGCTAGTCCCCATGGCAACAGCCTTTTTCCTGGGTTACCATAGGAATTGTGAAGGCCTTTATAAACCTCCATTAGCAGAGCCTAGGCCTGCAGCAGTCAGAAAAGCGTCTGCTGAGGAAGACACTGCAAAGTGTCAGGGAGGGCGTTTAGGAATTAATTTTCCCCAGGAGTAGCTGTGCAGGTCCGTGTAGCCCCCACTTCTGAGCTAGATAAACTGGCATCAGTCCAATACCTTGAACACTTCACATGAAGGGGTTTTCAAAATTTAGCCACAGATAGATATGACCCAATTGCAAAGATTTTGAAAGACTAGGAAGAAGTCTATTCTGTTAAAGCCTCACACCGGAGGGAAGTAAATCCATGTTGTTGTTTTTCCTCCAGAATGATGTATTAAAGCCATATTAACAATGACTATTGTGCTAGATGGTGGTGGTGGTTACACAGCAACATAATAGCATGAACTGGCTCCTAAGATGGTAGATTTTAGGTTATGTGTGTTTTCCCACAATTTAAAAAAAAAACTAATTTAGTTATAATTCTGATACTGCCATTATTGAGCATCTACTATATCCCAGGCACTAATGCCAGGGGCTTCGGATGTCCTGTGGCACCTAATCCCACAAGTCAGTAATTATCCCTACCCTGGAGATGAGGAAACAGGCTTAGCGAAATAAAGAGCTTCAGGGTGCACAGCTAGAAAGCCATGGAGAAATCAGTCCAGCCAAGGTGTCCTGACTCTGGACTCATGACCCTAATTCCCACAGCTTCAGCATCAATGGCTCCTTCTACAGGGAGTTCTGGTTACATTCAGTTTAACTGAATTTTTTTTCTTTTAAGACATAAAATGGCAGGTGCTTTCATTTTTACTCCAATCCTTGACTTCTTTTACAGCATTCTTGTATTTTCAGAAAATAGTTATTTGTACCAAAAAAGTTGCTTATACAGATTAATAATTCTTGGCACTTTTAAATAACAATCTATATTTAAAAACATCAACAACCACCACTAAAATTTACAAGAGTTACATATGTAGAGAAATTGCTTAGTAAATAGACTTCAGAAAATTCATTTTCATCAGGGCAAAGAAAACGACCATGCTTCATGCTAGAAACTGTGGAATGCAGGTAACAGTTATCTCTTCTTTGAGCTTTGGTCAAGCCATGTGCAAGAAATATGAAAAAGAGAACTCTAGGGAGAAGACATTCTAAAACTCCAGGAAATTTCTTCAGTAGCAAGAAGGAAGGCAACAATAGAAATTAGGGATTCTTTAAAAACAAAAAATAAGACACATTCTCCTAGGGTTATTCCACATGCCAGTCTTAGCTGTGAAAGTCCTTCTACCAGAGCTAAAATCTGGGTTCCAGTAACCTGAGGATCTCATTACTCAAGTAGGTAAATGGGAGAAAGAATTTTTTTTTCTCTTCAAAAAAATAAATGGAAAAGGAATACACGAATTAAGCTATTGATACATCAGTACAATGTAAAGTATCCCAAATTATACCATCTTTATTTTTTTTGCTCTTGTAACAGTTTCTTTAATACTTGGTAGTGTTTCTCTTTAGTTGCTTTGATAAATTTTTTCTTTCAAAAAGTAAAATTGAAAGGAAATGGGGAGTTGTTTTTTGAACACAGAGTTTCAGTTTTGAGAAAAGAAAAAGGTCTGGAGTTCTGTTCACAGCAACAGGAACAACTTAATACCACTGAAGTGTGCATTTAAAGTGATGATGTTGAAGTTTACATTATGTGTCCTTTGTCACTTTAAAACAAAAAGGTAAAATTGACAACCGTCTCAGCACAGGCTACTATAACAAAGTACCATTGGCTGCTCCCTTTCAGTGGCATTGGGGGGCACTGTCTTTCCCCTGAAGTTCTGCCATTTATTTCCCACAGTTCTGGAAACCGGGAAGATTAAGGTACCTGCAGGTTCCACTTCAGGTAAGGTCCCTCTTCCTGGCTTGCAGATGACCACTTCATTGAGTGTCCTCACACTTAATGTCTCTCTTCTTATAGAGATAGTAGTCCCACCATGGGAAACCGACCCTTTTCGACTCATCTGAACCTCATTACCCCTTGTAGTAGAAATCCAGGAAGAATGTGCTCTGAGACCCTTGCCTCTGCACCCCTCACAGACAAAAGCCACTCTCTTACCTTGTTCTTATGTTGAGCTCACTTCAAGTTTTGCTTCCACATTTACTCACCTCTGAGCTCCTGCTCTACCATTGTCCATCACAGTGATGGTGGACAGGACTCCTGGACCTTGGCCCTTTAACTCTTCTCCTGGACCCTTGTGTTGAACTTGACTTCAGGTTAGAGGTACTCCTGATCCTCTGAACAGCCATCTGGGTGCAGATCTCTGAATCCTTCCACACCACAAGGCCCAGCCTGGTCCACCTCAAAGGACCACAAGTCACAAATTATCCTGAATGCTTGCCTTTCTGATGTCACCTGAACAAATCTTCATCATCCTTTATAATCATTCTTTGGTTTCTGCTCCT